CGCAATAGTAAAAAATAGTAATCGTCTACCTCGCGCAACGATTACCAGAAAGGAAGGGGAGTAACAGAAATAAATACGAATAGATGTAGCAGTGTATGAGCGTGTATTTGACAGTGTTTTTCCTCTCTCGTACGGCGGCACACATTATTAGAATTCGCAGTACGTATGCGATTTAAGGTGGAATGTTATATTATTGCTAATTGCTGCCGGGTGTGCTGGACTCGCTGCAATTCGCTATTTCACAACAAAATCACCGGCAATATCTGATAATTGAAACGCAGCGTCGTAATCGGTAAAACGGCAATTTTCACTCGGTTCAATTTACGAAGATCGTTAAAACGTCAATGTATCGGCGAATTGTTCGCTGTTTCCGATAGAAAACTGTCCGATATTAGTTGTCGGAAATCGTGGGTATTTAGTTATCGGATATTAGAAGGCAAATTGAATTTTACAAAATTGACATTTGTACGAGCGCAGCACATCCGGGTTACATCGACACATCGATTTAATGGGTAAACGGGTGGGCCTCTATGTTACAACGCGAATTACAATGTAGAATATCATCATCCTCGTATCGCCATAATCGTCGTCGTCGTTTCATTATACAACAATCATCGTAATAATTAATTATTATTATTATCATCGTTTTCATCGTGGTACGCCTAAGACAAGTCGGTATTAAATATCTTACAATACACATCGTCTTCCATATATTTATTTATATATATATATATATAATATTTATATATATAATATTTATACTTTACCTTTTTTTTTCTTTACTCATTACGTATACTATCTATTTATAGGGTAGTCAGATTCGTCTCTCGTGTTTCATTCGTTTCTTTCGCCGTTCTCGGTTTGTCGACAATGAAAAAAGTACAAATAAAAAGTAGAAGGAGAAAAAAACCAAAGACGGCCGTTCGGTGCTCAATGTCAGGTCACGATTAAGGGGGTTTTTTTTTTGGTGGAGGGGGGTGGCGAATACGTCCGAACACTTTGTGCTTTCTTTTTCACACCGCTTTTTAAAAAATGTCGTTCGCTAAAACACAACTAGATTTAGGTACATTGAAGTATGAATGATCCGTAGAAAAAACGCGAAGTCCCATAATTTATAAAAAACTAAACTCGGTGACTTGACGTCGAGCAGACGTGATGAGAAATATGGCGAGAAATCAGTTCCGTCGGGAATCGCTGGCGATCTATCGCGGTAATCGACGCGCGACGCCTTATCGCTCGTCGACGTGGCGAACTTCTAGCCCGTCGCGGTCCCGCGTGTCGGGCCGGGCTCGACGGAACCACACCGTGACCAGAATGTCTGGACCGCGTAGGGGCTAAAAACGGTCTGCATCATTTTCAATGTTAATTGTAACAAACGTTCGCCGTGATTCTCGAGACGCGTCGTTGCACGACATACACATACAAAAAAACGAGTAGGTTAACTTTTAGAGATGGCTGTTACAACATCATATTACGTTACAATACATTTTACGCGTTATAGTAGTTTCCTGTTACTCGGTTACAAGCGTCGGGGTTTAGGTATTCCCTTCCTCGATGCTCGGCTGCTGAGATTTTCGTTCTGTTCCTTAACCCTTTGCGCTCGAGTAGGCGACACTCGATCCCCACTGGGCTTTAGTCGAGTGGCGAGCGAAGGGGCGACAATCTTTCTTTACGGCGGATTTCCGTGAATCTCGAAGGGTTGATAGGAATGAATAGATTCCTATTAGGCGTCGCTTTAACTTCGAAACGACACGACTGGACGCTGCGACCGTCGCGTTGCTTCGATAGCTTCCTAATGGGTTCTCGATAGTCCACGAAGAGGTTTCTGAGCTCTTCGCGTGTACTTTTAAAAAGTGTTAAACGTTACAGCTTGAAATTGTAACGAGATCTTTTATTTAAATTTTTACAACGTTTCCAGGGTTAGATCACGTTCGACAATTGCGTTGGAGAGTCGTTTGTAAAGTTTTTAATGTTTCCTTAGTAGAGTCTTATACAAATGATTCGATGATTCGTGGACACGAAGAAGAATACAGAAGGTAACGTTGACGAGTTTTTCTTTTTTAAGATGCAGAGATACCGTAGAGTATTCAGATAAAATGTTTCTTTACGTTATCTGTACAGATCATTATACGTAAGAAGTGCAAAGAAGTCAAATATTCGAAAAATCTTCGCCGGTTCACCTTAACGAAACTATCGTCGAGCGCAGAGGGTTAATTATTGTAGTTAGACCTGCGTATACCACGTACCGATGGACGAAACTATGAAAGAAACAAGAAATTTATACACCTAGCTGTTGATTTACATGGAAAATTGGTTCCTTGGAATTTTCTATAACTCTAAATCATGGATTTTCGTACACAAAACCGTGAATCAGAAGATGGAGATACTGTGTATAATTCAGGAAGTTATTTTATTAAATTCGTTTATTTGAATGTAAAGCAAAATACAAATGAATAACAAAAGGGTATCAGTCCATCCGTGAAACAACAGATTTATAAAGCTATATTTTATAATTTCAATTTTCGTTTCTATAGATATGACTTTTCTTCTCGCTTCTATTCTTTTTTATTAACGTTAAAATTGAATCGAATTACAAAAATGCCGAAGACATTATACTCGTTCGTCGTTGACCATTAAATATAAATTTTAAAAATTTCGTTTGCTAAAGACGTACTGCCCTAAACAATACGAACGTTTTCTGAGTACGAAAAACCGTTTGTACATCTTTTAGGTTTAACGTGAGCGTTAACAAACAAATAGCACTAAATACGTGGGCAGTATAAATTTTTAAAACAGTTTCTATTTTGAGAAATTGGTTACTTTAGAAACCGTGTAAATCGAAGGTTAGGTGTACTTCGAGACTCTTATCTCGCTAAGTGATAATGCCACGAGATTGGAGATAAAAGTCACAACAACGTGTTGAATTTTTTTCCAAACGGTAGACGTTTAACCCTTCGCGGTTCTCTGTCGAGTGAGGCTCGACAAAAATGTACCGAAATAAAAAAGTCTCGTTAGCAAAGGGTTAAATAAATAATAATTAAACCGCTAAAATCGGCTTACACAATCTTCCGTAACAGCATCTCTGATTCGTCGAACGGAACGTGGCTTCTCTATAGTAACTTGCTGTCTAATTCTTCTCAGCGGCACACGTAAACATCGTACAAGGTGGGAGTAGGGCCTCTACGCACTGCCACTCGTACGAAAACGAAATTAACTAATCAGGTATTGAGTATTCTCGGATTTAAGACTGAAGACGTGAGAAACAGACGGGGGAGTAATGTATGCGAAATTTGTCTCCTAATTTTCAGATTTATTTGAATACATTGTAAAATATATTTCGTTTAGAAATGAAATTTTCGACACTAGATGAATATGGAAGGGAAGAAAGGAAAAATTATGAATAGATCGATAGAATCGTGATAGAGTTCACGTAATGAAGGAGGGAATGAGCGAAGGGTCTAAAATGAGACACAGTGGGTCAAAAAAGTATTTGTACACGTCAATTTGTTGGAGATACCTGTAAAGAAGTAGCGCATTGATGTATTGTATATTTTTTATTGCTAAGGAACAAAAGCATAGCTCTTGTATAACTCGTCTAAACAGTTTATCTCGATACTTCGCTTCGATACATTCATTGAAATTTTGTAGAGAACTTGTGGGTATATTTTAGACTTGAAGATTAGAAGAAAACGTATAAATCGCTCTTAGAAAGGAAGAAAGAAGAAGAGATTTTTCAGCAATTTTTAAACAATTTTCGTTCTCTTTTTATAATTTTCAAACGGTAAATTATCAAAATTTCCGCGTGAAAAGATGATTTCTGTGTATAATGAAGCACCGAGTTACGTACTTTATGCAAATGTACTACTTCTATATGCAGGCAGTTATTTAAAAAAAAATAAAAAATAAAAAAAAAAGGAAAAAAAAAAATTGGGAGTGCAAATACTTGTTCGATTCACCGTAAGTGGGGAATGAGTAAAATAAAAGAGAGCAGCGCACATTTCCATACACGTACGAGGAAAAGGTCTTTTTCTCGGGCGGTTTGGTTTCCGTAGTATCTAAATATGATTTCAATAAATAAGCTACCTAGGGAGCGATTTCTTTTTGGGAGGATAGGGGTAGGCGCTCCTTGCGTGGCGAGTCTGCGTAAACGAAATGGCTCAGGGGTTGGTTCCGAATCCTAACCATGGCGTGCACACGACATCACCGAAATTGGAAATAAATGAGAAATAAAGCTACACGCCTGAGAAACCCGAACCCCTTGGTTCCATTCGCCGAGTCGCCACCGCGTCCTATACTCGTGTTCCTAACCTAGTAATACAGTCTGCGATAGCGTCCTAAGGATTAAGTTCATTAACGATCATTGTAATATATTACACACACTCACACGCGTCCAGAGGTAAATACATACGCACGCGAAAATGCACACAAATACTTAAGCTCGTACACGAACACGCAGTTTATGCCAATACTCTCAGTAGGTACTATCTCACTTTCATTCCTATCAGAAAATAGACTTCTGTGTAATGATAACGCTCGACGCGGCAAAATCGCGGTAGAAAGTAACCGGTATTTCAAGAATATCACGTATAAAATGCTCAGAGATCCCAGAGATTATTTGTTCATCCGTTTCTAAAGATTGTTTTGAATAGGTTTACTAAAAATATATTATTCTTGCTTCCTGTGAATGTGTGTACCGATTCTCCGTGAAAAAGGTTCCTCCGTCTGTATCCGTGTCTCAGTGTACGCAATTATGTTTGTGTACGTGTGCGTTTGTTCGTGTATGTATCCGTTTAGTGTGTCATACGTGTCTGTGTCTGTGTCTCTGTCTGTGTCTGTGTCTGTGACTCTGTCTGTGCCTGTGTCTGTGTCTCTGTCTGTGTATGTATGTATGTATGTATGTATGTATGTATGTATGTATGTATGTATGTATGTATGTATGTATGTATGTATGTATGTATGT